TCAAGAAGAAATTATTTGGAAATAAGAGTAGTGTCCAATGAAATTTGAACTTTCTTTATCTCGGTGCTTGTCTTCTGTTAACCTCGCTTTAGCCATTTTGGCCAATGTTGAGACAGAGCATGACAAACAATAATGTTTATTAAAAGAAAGAAAGAAAGAAAGAAAGAAAGAAAGAAAGAAAGAAAGAAAGAAAGAAAGAAAGTGAGACAAACGAGAAAGAAAGGTTATCAAGATATGAGAAAAGTGTATAAATGTTAGTATGGAGAAAAGAGTTAAGAAAGAAAGAAAGAAAGAAAGAAAGAAAGAAAGAAAGAAAGAAAGAAAGAAAGAAAGAAAGAAAGAAAGAAAGTGAGAGAGAGGAGGCAGAAAGGTTATCAAGATATGAGAAAAGTGTGTAAATGTTAGTATGGAGAAAAAAGTTAAGAAAGAAAGAAAGAAAGAAAGAAAGAAATAAAGAAATAAAGAAAGAAAGAAAGAAATAAAGAAAGAAAGAAAGAAAGAAGTAAAGAAAGAAAGAAAGAAAGAAAGAAATAAAGAAAGAAAGAAAGAAAGAAAGAAAGAAATAAAGAAAGAAAGAAGATTACTGATGTGAAAGAAATAATGAAAAAAAGCATATGAAAATAAGTAGCTAACAAAGAAAAATAAACGAATGAAAAGCGTCAATGAAAAAAAGAAAAGTGAGAACGGGAGAGAGAGAAAGAGAGAGAGAGAGTAACAAACAAAAGTGAAAATAATAAAGAAAAGCATACAAAAGAAAGAATGAATGTTGTATATGAATATGAAAGAAAGAAAAATAGGAGAGAGCAAAGCACATTTCGAAAAGAAAAAAAGAAAGAAAATTTGTATTAAAAAGTAAACAAGAATAAAGGAAATGGCCAAAAAGAACAAAAATATAAAAAAGATAGAACGAAAGAAAGAAGTTGTGTATTACAAAGAAAAAATGAATGAAAAATATAGAAAGAAAGAAAGAAAGGAGGAAAAACAAGAAAGAAAGAAATTAAGAAAAAAGAAAGAAAAGATAATTGTCCATCAATATTTAAGAAACAGAGGAAATTGTTTATATTAAAACGAAACAATGAAAACAGGAAAGTTTTTAGAAGGAAAATTTACAAAAAACGAAAGCCGTTTACTAAAAAGGAAAGAAACAAGTTTCGTATATGGTAGTAAACAAGAATGAAGGCAAGAAAATGTCATAAAAAGAATAGAAATATGCAGATGAAAGAAAGAACTTTTGTATTCGAACGAAAAAAGAATGAAAAAAAAATGGGCAATTGTAGAAAGAAAGAAAGAAAGAAAGAAAGAAAGAAAGAAAGAAAGAAAGAAAGAAAGAAAGAAAGAAAGAAAGAAAGAAAGAAAGAAAGAAAGAAAGAAAGAAAGAAAGAAAGAAAGAAAGAAAGAAAGAAGAGAACGGGAAACGTTAAAGAGGAAATAGAAAACCGGGAAGAAAATGCAAATCTAAATGAAAAGAGAAAATCTGAATAAAAAAGAGAGTGCGTAAAATGAGGAATATTAATAATATAGAGACGTATGCCAAAGAAAAGAGAAATAGTTAATTAAAAGAAAAAAGCGGGGAAAGAGAGATAAAGAAAAAAACAAACAAAATAACATCGCTTGAAAGTTACAAAAAAAACGAAAGAAAAAGTTTTAAGCAAGGAAAGAAAAAAGAATATGTATACAAAAAAAATAAGCCAACAAGGAAAAAAGAAAATAGACAAATGAAAACGCGCCCTTTTGTGCTTTGTTTTGGCTGGGGACTGACTTTTATGAACGAATATGAATTTGTCTAATTAACGAAAAATAGTGTATGATTTTCTGCAGTAGTTCAGAATTCTTTTGTCAGAAACGAACAGCCGGCAAATGAAGGTAGCAGACGACAGTGTTATCACTGAATGATAAGAGCAGACAACACTGCAAAAGCGCAAAGGCGCACCATCTTGCAAGAGAAGCGGCCATGCCAACTGAGGGAATTTCAGGCAAAAATTAAGCTGATCTTGAAAACAGATGTACAACTAAATTACCAGACTATTTAATGTCTTTGGCAGACATTAGCAATAGCTTGACATAGTTATGTGCAAATAAAAGAACTAATAATTTATGCTTTCTATATATAAATTTGTAGTTCTGCGTATATACACAGGCATTCGATTTTTTTTTTCGAGAAGACAGTAACTTTCAGAGACTTTGTATTATACATCAATTATCTTAAACTGAAATAATACATATATCTGTCTCTCTATTTGCCCAAGTGCAAAAGCAGTACAAGAAGTTTCCTCCTCCTCCTCCTCCTTCTTCTTCTTCTTCTTCTTCTTCATCATCCTCCTCCTCATCATCATCTTCTTCTTCCGCCTCCTCATCTTCTTCCACCTCCTCTTCCTCCTTCTCCTCTTCTACTTCTTCCGCCTGCTCCTTCTTCTTCTTCTTCCACCTCTTCTTCTTCTTTTTCTTCCTCTTCCGCCTCCTCCTCTTCTTCCACCTCCTCTTCCGCCTCCTCTTCTTCTTCTTCTTCCTCCTCCTCCTGCTCCTCTTCTACTACTTCTTCTTCTTCTTCCACCTCCTACTTCTCCTCATCCTCCTCTTCTTCTTCTTTTTCTTCTTCCGCATCCTCCTCCTCTTTTTTGTTCCGCCTTCTCCTCTTCTTCCACCTCCTTCTCCTCCTCCTCCTCCTCCTCCTCTTCTTCTTCTTCTTCTTCTTCTTCTTCTCTACATCGTGTAACTTCAAGACGTAGACTTTCCTCCAGAAAGTGACTCGTTGCGCCTTCTCGGGTCACTTCCTCCGTTGACATGAAGTGAAAAAACTATATTGAATCCATTGCTAGATCCGCTGCCAGGAAAGTTGTTTCACTGTGTCGAGCTAAACAATTTTTCTCTCCAGAATCTATCCTACATATCTATAAGTCTACTATTCACCAATGCTTAGAATATTGCTGCAGATATGGTCCGGTGCCCTTGCTATTTACTTTGAACTCCTTTATAAAATCCCAAAAATCTGCAATATTATTGGTCCGGATCTGGCAGCTCAGCTCTAGTCACTTCCCCACTGCCATAATGTTGCCTCTCTGTAAATACTTTCATGGTAATTGTTCGAATGAGCTCTTCGCTATAGTATCTGGAGTTTTTTTTCTTTTTAATTTAAGCGCAGCACTAGACTGGCGTCGAGATCTCATCAATTTACAGTTGAACTGGATAGAGGTGGTCGTAAATTCTATGCTAACAGTTTCTTTTCTAACACTTCTCGCTTGTGGTACTCCCTTCCAACTCTAATCTGCAAAAATTTAAATGCAATGCAGTCGCTATCTACTGTTTCATTTTTTCTTTTTTTTAATTAAATTAAAATAATTATTAAAATTTAAACTTGTGTGTGTGTGTGTGTGTGTGTGTGTGTGTGTGTGTGTGTGTGTGTGTGTGTGTGTGTGTGTTCCTGATCAAACTGGACTCATAAATAATTACATCGGTTACACAACTACATGCTTATCCAGACGCCTTACGTTACACCTATCTGATCACAGCTCCATTAGAACCCATTTAAACACACACACACACACAAATTTACCAGACTCCATTAAAAACATACTAGTAGAAAACACAAATATATTAACTGCATCCACCTGTAAAAAAAATACTAAACATAATGGAAGCTTTAATAATAAAAAAGAAAAAAAACAACTCTTAACAATATTAACTACGAACAAGGCCACAATGTGCTAACCGTATTCGGAAATTAAAACATCCCTACAACACACTAAAACATACACATAATGCACACACTCAGTTAAGCTGAAAAATCGAATAATCCTTGATAATGGCTAAAGGTATAGCCGAAAGCGCTCGGAACTATTAAACATTTGGACAGTTTTTACACACTCTTTGTCCAGAAAAGAAAGCTCTTGTTTAAACACAAGAAAAATTAAATAAAATGCTCAACCGTAGTAACTTGTATGTCGTTTTTTAATGAAACATATATATATATATATATATATATATATATATATATATATATATATATATATATATAATAAAAAGGCTTAAACACTAATATTCCATTTATTCCATTGGAATTGTAAATTCGATCCAATTCATCAGACCTACAAATTCAAAAAGAAAACAGAAAAAAACAACTCCGGGAATAAAAAATAAAATTTATTGAGAGTGTATGTATGAGAGTGTGGGACGAATGTTGGAGTAAATGAAAGCTATAGAGAGGGGTAACACACGAGAGAAGAACAGGAAGGTCTAAAGATGAAGGAGGGATTAAAATTTAACAGAGTTTTAAAGAGAGAGAAATATGAATATACTCAGATGTCTAATACATTAGGATACATTTTGTGGTGACATACACACACAATAGACGATCTAATCTTAAAGATCAGAACATGAGAAAGGTAGAGGAAAAGCAAAGAAAAAGAGGCGGGGGAGAGAGATGGGGTGGGGGGGGGTGAACTAAAACCGAAGGGCATTTATAAAAGGGCCGCTTGTGTAATCAAGAAAATTTAACAAAAGTAATATCGACTACAGGTTACAAATCAAATATAAACATATTAAAAAAAAAACAAACATAACGATTATCTAATCTAGCAAGGACCTATATTTCTATGTTCAAGAACACATGCATATACACACATACACAACGACATATTTATATCCTTACTCTGTCCCGGACATTAAGTCCTACCTGGATTCTATCCTCTTGGATTTAGTTTTTTATATATATTTATATATATTTTAGATATATGATTGTATATGTATGTGTATATTTGCCACTAATATTATATATATATATATATATATATATATATATATATATATATATATATATATATATATATATAAACAATTAATTAAAAACTCTTAAAAAACTCTACATATATATATATATATATATATATATATATATATATATATATATATATATATATATATATTGAAATTTTATAATGCTATATTAATAATTCTAGTATAAAATATATTAGCTGATTCTATTGTTGGTAATTTTTTTATACAAAAATGTATTGCTGGTAATTTTATTATAAAACAGTATTTTTATACTTTCATAGTGTTTTGCTTTTGTTTGGTAGCTCACTATTATTAGGGATGAGTAGTTCATTTGTTCGTTGTTTTTGTTTAGCGATTTATCAACCGCTATGGTTTCTTTAATGGTAACCATTTGAACCTTTTCAACTACAGATGTTTTGAACGCAGTTTTATACTTTCAGGGTACAGGCCTGTTTTTTAGATATATATCTTGTAGATGATAAAATCTATTGGTATTTTTTTTAAATATTTATTTCTGCTAATTTCTCTAGAAAAATATCTTGTTAATAATTATTTTATAAAAATGTATTGTTTATTTTAGACTTCTTTTTTAATTTTGCAGTAATTGTCATTTTGCTATAAAAATGTATTTTTTAATTTTCCTTATTATTTGCCCATAGTTGGGACCCTTAACAGGTGCTGCCACCCGAGTCAGGGTGAACCGGGGAACAACAGCAGTTAAGAGGTGTTTCTCTGTTCCTCAAAACCTCCAATCTCCTGATCAGAGGCCTTGCTGCCGGATGTAGTTTATCGTCATACCTAGGACTACGGTTGGCATAAATTTGTTAAAGTGGACATCAAATGAGTTAAGATGATACCTTATACTACTTTTATTTATTGATTGATTTCCAAATATTTCAAAGCGTCCAAGATCTGCGGAATTGATAAAGTCCACAAGGCGCTTGAAGTCCATTCATTTAATTTTCAATCTTATTGAAGTTCGGGGTTTGTCACTCTGTCATCTCACAACTTTAATCTTCTTTTCTGAAGTCAACCTCTAGCTTAACTTTGATCTGTTCTTTGAATATTTGTAATATTGAAAGATGATATTTCTTCTCGTGTTTTGGCTTTCGTATAATTAGTACTATTTGTACGTTCCCCTGTTACGATGAAAAGCCTTTCACCATTTCGATGACAAAGATAGAGAGAGAGAGGGGGGAAAAAAAGCCAAATTAATTGACCGCCCGCTAACAAACCTGAGAGTAGACATTTTGTTTTTGTGCGATGAGTGATGTTCTTTTTTACCTAAAGCAGACTTTCGAATAAGACCTTCAGTTTCACCTTCCTTGTAGATAACTAAGCTGGCAGTACGTCGCTGCTAAACACACACACACACACACACACACACACACACACACACATATTTATGTATTTAGGCAGCAAATTCTCTTTTAGACATGTCCGATTAAATATATTAGAGACATTACGTCTACTTATTTTCAATAAAATCCGTTCATACTCACGGATAACCTTCCGGGTATTGCAATTAAATGATGTAAAATATGCTATAAATATGAAAATCTTTTTTTTTTATTTTCCATTTCCCAAGTCATGAATATCCCAAAACAGTTTTGTTTTACTACTTACACCCAGGAACATTAATTTTTTTTTTTTACTACGTACAAACCTGAAGATCATTTCGGAAGAAGATCGAAATAACTTGGGAAATGGAAAATAAAAACGATTTTCATACTCATAGCTCATTAGGATATATATATATATATATATATATATATATATATATATATATATATATATATATATATATATATATATATATATATATATATATATATATATATATATATATATATATATATATATATATATATATATATATATATATATATATATATATATATATATATAATATATAAATAATTATAAAAAAAATAAATAAATAAATAAAGTGGATATTAAGCTAACACCCAGAGTCAACAGTTTGTTTCATGCTTATATATATATATACTGGTGACAATTGAAGATAAGTCCCAGACCTGACAATCAGTTCAAGCATGAAACAAACTGTTGACTCTGGGTGTTAGCTTCAATATCCACTTTATTTATTTATTTATTTTTTTATAATTATTTGTACGTATATATATATATATATATATATATATATATATATATATATATATATA